ATGACTCCATGTTGGACTTTTCACTTTAGAAAGTTCCTGCGAGAGTCATCAGGACTCCTTACGATTCCTGCTGGAGTTTTTCATAAACTTGGGACTCGCGTTGGAGTTTTGCCGGGAGTCTCGACTAGGGCTACCTATCCAGTTTAAAGTAGAATGCAGTCGGTTCTGTTTTGAATAATGTTTCAACAAAAAGCAATATAAACGATACAACTTAAATATCGTATTTTCTTCGTAGGGGTTATCCAATGTCAAATAATATTTGTTCAATCAAGATCATTCTAAGTTTATTCTCTCCCCATACTCTTCATTATTCATACACTTCTCATTATTCGTAATACACATTCCAAACAAACTATATAGTAATGTAATTGACATTTCTCTTTATAATCAAATGATTTCAACAATGAGTCACTTGAGAATAGACACGCTTTTCTATCGTAATTTTAGATATATCTTGTAATTTAGAAAATTTAAAGGTAATAAAATCTCTTAATATTCAGTCATTTTTACTAAACAAACGAAATTGCCGAACTAGAAAGAATTAGCCAAAAGTTCAAGATTACGCATGTTCTATGTACAACATCTTTAAAATTGTTTTCGTTTCATTTTATAGTTGATATTTTATCGGGCTTGCTCACAAGATGATGGATAAATCTAACAACTCAATATTTTCGTCAAAATTGTCCTGTTCATTAGATCATCCAATCGCTTAATTTTACCGCCGTTAATCGTTTATAATTTATGTGTGGTTATAATTTAGTATAAAAAGTTCAAACAGTTTCTGTATAGGTCCCTAGAGAATGTACTTGTGCCCAAGTACGTCACAACAAGTACCCCGCTTGCGTAATGAAGCCGGTACTTGTCTTTTTTCCAGAAGAAAATTTACTTATAAGTACTTGTCCAACATGCAAGTATTTGATTTTTCACTTGACAAGCACTTGTTCAAGCGCTTGTCAAGTAAAATTGCAAGTACTTGGATTGTTTTCAAGGTAATATTATTCGAGTGTTTCCCTGTATTCACTTTGTGAACTTATATTATTCTATGTCTGAAGTCAACAAAGAAAACACGTTTTCCTAAGCATAGGTATAGTATCCATGTAAATAGATAGTGGCGAGCGATCCTAATCTGTCTTATCCAAGCAACTGCTGATTTTAATCCTATTTTTACTTAAAAAAAGTGTTTATAAGTCGTGAATAAGCAAAACGGACATCTGAGACAAAAAGAGATTGCAAACAAAAGAGTAAGATACCGCTTAACAAATTACAACAAGAGATAAAACAATAGAATAAATTTTCATAATAATATTATATGTGCATGAAGAAAATGTTAGAATGTCAAAAGTTTTTTTTCCACTCTTTCTTTATATAGAAATCGCTACATAAGAGTTCAGCGATGTTAAGATAAATTATTTGTTGGATTTCGAAATATAAAGTGTTCGATTAACTCCTTTTAAAAAACCCTTTTGATCTTTTGCTCAAACTGGAAAATCCTTCGCTTCTATGAAAAACCAAAAACGATGTTTCCCTAAACCAAATGCGTTTAGGAAAAAACGCTTTTAGTTTTTACCAAAAAGTTAGAAAACCCTTCGACTCTTTCTAAAAAACACTTTTTAGTTTTTTGGTCAAACAGAAAAACACTTTTGGTTTTTAAATAGGCTTTTTTCGGTTCAGGTGATAAAAAAGCCCTTCCCCTGCCGAGGACTTTCACAAAATACTTCTTAGCAATAAAAGCAAATATTTTTATCATTGAGGAGTACTTCTGAAAGTACATGGCAAGTGAGAAATTTTGAAAACACTTGCCAATTTTTCCAAGTACTTAGCAAGTAACCAAGTACGTTCTCTAGGGGTATTATCTTATATTAAACGAATAACAGTACATGAAAAAACAAACGAATATAAAATAAAAATAAGTCATCTTAGCGATCAACAAAAAAAATAAGACATAGTTGAAACATGTAATAGTTCCATAAAAACAGCACGGTTATGGATTTTCGATTAATCTAATCTACGAACGAGAGGTTCTTTGTGATGTAGTGCAAAAGTATTTAAGAATCTTAATACTTCAAGTGTTTTTCTTTTTGGATGAGAATCGTTTTCGCCATAACAATCAGAAATACACTTCAAAAATTTTGTCGGGAGTCTCGACCAGGATCACTTGGCCATCTTAAGGGCATTGTTATAACAATATTTTGAAATTTTTGACTATAATCTCTTACAGCTTCTTTCTCTAAGGTCTTATAAGATCATACAAGATCTTGTACGTTCCTATCATAAGAAAAATCTTATAAGAACCTTGCTACAAGATATCATATGAAAGATATGATGTATCTATGAATAATCATTAATACTTTTATATGAATTTAATCTTTTTTTTACGGGAGCTCGATCATTTTCAGGTTATACTTACGAGGGGACCTCCCAAGAGGTTCCAAATCGCTTTCGGGCTAAAACTTAATAGGTTATAGGTTATCGACTATGCTGATTCCGAATATAACAATCATTTTGGTCGACAGGTCTTCAGAGGCCGGATTTCTGGAAAACCAGTTTTTCAAAACTCCTAAAAAATAATAAAAACCTTTGTTAATGAGGCAGGATTGTAGTTCACAGATTTCTGATTAAAATAAGACCCCTCCCAGTTCTACACGACCTTTCTTTGCAAAGTTATAGAGTTTACAAGAAAACCCCTAAATGTTCATTGTCAGCTCAAAGCTACAGAAATAAGAAATTAATTTAAGGCTTTTCTCGTAAATTCTAAAACTTTGCAAAGAAAGACCGTGTGGAGCTAGGAGGGGTCTCATTTTAACCAGAAATCTGTGGGCTACAATCCTTCCTCATTAACAAAGGTTTTGGTTATTTTTTAGGAGTTTTGAAGAATTGGTTTTTCAGAAATCCGGTCTCTGAAGACCTATCGACCAAAATGATTGTTATATTCGGAATCAGCATAGTCGATAACCTATAATCCACTAGGATTTAGCCCGAAAGCGATTTGCAACCTGGGGAGGTTCCCTCATTAGTCTGCTATGTTCTATAACATACGCTCAAATTTTCCGAATCGGAAGTAGCTGATTATCGCACCTTTTCAGAGGTGGACAGGTCAGACCATTTCCAAGTCCGTCGAAAAAAGCTTCAAGTCTGGACTTGGACACGCGTAACCACAATCGCCCAGTGGTTGTCAACAACATAATTGGCAAATCGTATGGACATACAAAAATAAATTCCGTGCGAAATCAAATGATGGCTTAATAACACAAAGAAAAGAAATTCAAGATTACTTGATTCATTTGATTGATGAAAAGAGTAAACAGAAATTTACAACAGGATCGACAGCAGCAGCGGTACTCTCAAAACATAATCAGCGAATAACTTCGAACAATATGTGAAAAATTTTAAATTTTGTCATGTTCTTCTTTCTTTCGTAATTACCAACACGCCACCTTCGAAAAAATCTAAGAAGTTTGACAGTGAATCTTGAGTCTCTGCTAAAAAAAGAATGTATTCAGCGAAATAGTTATTTATACTTTCCATAAATCGAATACAGTTCGCTGAAAAAGCATCGTAGAGAACTAGAAGACGTTTCATTTTATTCCATAAGACTGAGTGATTTACGTAGACTAGAAATTGTTTCCTTTTTTTACCAGACGCAGCAATAAAGTTGATCTATGAGAAGAATTATTTTGGATCGAAAATATTTTTTGGCTTGGAAACCCTTGTCTGAATTTATTATTAAACAAAAGAAATTATTTAATGTAGTTTCATTCGCTCTTTTTGAACATTAACTGATTCTATTTAAAAGCTTCTGTACAGAGAAAGATAGATGAACTAAATACTCTCTTCAACTTCGTGCGCGTACTGTTAACTAACCTTCGGATCGGGTTGCACATCTCTATTTTTATCTGATATTAAGGAGTTCACAATTCACTAAACAACAATATCGAAATGAATATCATTGTTAATATTTTACTGAATTTAATCAGTTTTTATTCATTAACGTTTTATGCATTTTCATGTCAGTAAATTTTTGATGTAAAAAAATGCTAAGTATTAATTTCGACATAAATTGACACTAAAACATACTATATACACCCTCGCTACACATCAACAAATAATCAGAGAGAATTCAGATCATTCTGAAATTTTTTTCATACGTTTCACATTGTCTTTTCATTAAAAAGTAAAATGAATTTTGAATCATCATGTTGAACCGTTTACTGGCCGTCAGTAAACTATAGGTGCCTTCTCTTTTACTAATTATTTTAAATTAATACTATGATGACATTAGTCGAAAAAGTGAAATTAAAAAATGCGGATAGGTTATGATCCATTCTAGATATGAACTTCTTATCATCATACAAACAATGTGTTAGTTTTACTGATTTCTTGGTTAAAATTAGATTTTAGCTAGATATAGAACGGTGTGCAAAGACAGAAGAAGATGATAGACAATAATTTGGCAAAAGTAGCGATGGTATGAGATGAAAGTGAATTGATATCTTTCAAACTTCATTTTTACATTTATTCCATTTTTGAAAAACAAATCAACTAATATCCAGAACTATTGAATCAGTAGAACAGTGATTCTTTAGGGAAGCTTTTTATGTCGGTGAAATTTATCATTTTGAACAAGACAAGTTTCATAAAACATTTGAAAGAATACTTTTAGGAAAAAGTGAAACAGTGCTCTTTTCGCATTTCGAACGTTTATTTGTCATATTTATCTATTCAACAATTCATAAAGCAAAAAATATATGTTTATAAAATTTTTCTTTGTTTTCTAACCATATTCAGACAACAATTTTGAAATTTAGAATAAATGGCACAATAGAAAATTTCAACTTTGATATTACAAAAAATTGAAAATAAATAAATAACTTACATCTCACTTGAGGAAAAGAATGAACATTTTCCTTAATGCAGAAATAAAAATAAATAAAGATGTTTTTTAACCAAGTGACACAAAGTTAAGTTCATCAACTGCACATCGATTAGAAGAAGGAAAAACGAAGAAATAACTCAGCTGAAAGAAAAACAAAACTAATGAATTTTTGGGAAAAAAGCAATCAGCGAGACACATAAGGACAAATTATTATAGAATGAACAACAGCGACATAAAAAAAATTTTCAATTGATTTAATTATTACATTTTAGACATTTTTTATTATTTATTGATGCTAAATGTAGACACTAAAATTGAAAAGAAGGGAGAATATATATTTACAGTATAAAAAGAATCCATCCATTTTCTTACCATTTTATGTACAAAATGAACACCACAATTAAGACCAACATCACCAAACATTGTATGACAGACAGTACATTCATTTTTCTATAAAAAAAACAACAACAAAAAAATAATTCGAGATAAAAGACTTCACATATACATAGTATAGTAAGCAAAAGAATGCTGATAACTTAATATAAAATTATAGTTTGTGGCTATAAATATGAAGAAAACAATAAAAAATATATCAGTTGCATGCAGTACCAATCAAGAACAGAGTATTTTCTTCTACATTTTAGAACTTATTTACAACTTACCGAATGTTGAGTGGCATTTATCGATGTTCGATTAATTTTTCGTAAAGAAAATGGCAAAATATAAACTGATTGACTACATTCATGTTCATTTGTTATGTTCGGCGTTAATTCATTACGTGACGCTGTTGCCATTAATGTACTTCCTGCATCAACATCACTTTTCGCTTCTGAAACGATTGATAATGAATCTGATAATGGTGGTGTCAGAAGCGCCATACTATCATGTTGCAAATCAGACAGAGGTGATGTTTGTTGTTCAAAATCGAATATATCTATTCTGTTTGCAAATGATGTTTTAAGATCATTTGGTTTTACACGTGTTTGAACAATATTATGAATTGTTGAAAATTTACTTTTTAGAGTATCACATTTATGAACGAGATAGTCTACAGGACTTTTCAATGGTGGAAATTGGTTACTCAATGGTAATAATAATTGTGCATTAAGTGATAAATCATCCACATCTTTATACTGCAATAAATCAAATCAATCAAAAGTAAAAAGTTATAATAAAAGTATTTAGAAACGTTTCTTTTTCAACGGATTTCATTAGATCATTAAATTATTAGAATATTTTTCAAATGTTTTAGATCCTCTTATTTGTAATGCTCAGACTCGTAACTTCAGTGATGAACAAAAAATTCCATAAGTAATACAGTTTTAACTTACAATATTTGATATATGATCAGATAATGTTGAATATATAGCTGAATCTTGTTGCGATGAAGAAGGATATCGATTTTGTGCCACACTATTGCTGCTAAAGGAAAAACTTAACTTTCAATAGCATTAAAATTTGAATTTTTTCTACATACTTCCATTGTTGAAACTTTCTTCTATCAAATTCCTCCAATACAAATTCGAGTGTTTGATCCAACTGCTTTGATAATGTTGTTTTATCATCATCAAAAATACTATACAATCTATTGATTACATCTTGATCATCATTGCTGTGATCTGTGCTTGATACTGGTGAGTACATAGTCAGTAATGAACTAGTTGTCATTTATCAGTCTACAAAGAGAAAGAGAAATGTTCAAATTGATAAACAACATGCAGAAAAATGTTTTTGAAGTTTTTCCTAGCGATAAAGGTGAGACCTATGGAAAGTATAAAAACTAATATATCATCACCAGAAAACATAAACAATCAAAAATCTTTAAAAAATAATCATCACTAAAAGGTTGCCTATATAAAACACTTCGGTTTCTATTCTCTATCTTTTCTTAAACTTATTTTCTCCCTGTTTTAGCTAAAACAACTATTGAATACTTTCAGACGCAACCCTAATCAGCAATTGAAATTTTTCGTATTATCTGAAAAAAGAAAAGCTTTTTTGAATTTCGTACTAGTCTGTGAAACTATACATATATTCTGTGATTCTAAGAGAAATCAGTTTCCACTAAAAAACAACGGTATAGTAGTGGTATATTATAACGGCAGGACCCTGTCAGATACACTCATGAAATATCATAAATCAACAGTTTAAATTTTTTTCTCATCTAAAAATTAAGTCTTCGATACGCCCTTTCAGTCCCACTAGATGTCAATATCCTGAAAAATATTTTGAACCCAGTATATTATTTAAAGCACCCTAACTATTGAAACAGAGCGAGAAAGAGTAGCTGGCGTTTTAAAAATATTACAAATTCCGTCCACTAAGAAAGAACGTTAGCAAAACAAAGTAACACGATCAAAAACTTAAAATAGAGAGAGTGTTTGAACCTCTAGCCATCGCATCATCTGTGAACTGAGGTACTGGACGACAAATTCATGACATCAGCAGGTCAATGGCTGTATGACTATATACGGGAAATGAAACAGAGACACGCGCTAAAACCGAAGTATGAGATAATAAGTTAAACGCAAAAGTTACGGCATTTTACTAAACCAATAGAAATAGTTCGTTGATATCAACTAACCAGTAATACTCTGTGAGAGCAGGTTGAAAATCTCTGCGAAGAAATAAAGTTTTATATTTCGGTTGTAGTCAAAAGAGAATTGTAAGAAATTTATCTCTCTTTTCTTAAAGAGGTCGTCAGTGTATGATTTAACAATGACAAGGTCAAGATAAGCTATTAGCTTAAAAATGAAAATGATACCGTCCCTTCGACGTACAAGCGTTTCGGTGTCGTTACCATTTTCATTGCAGTTTATTTTGATCCTACAACATATGAACACAAACTGAAAAGTGGCTGAGAGAAATTGTCTTAAGAAAGAAGAGAAATTGCAATCAGTAAACAGAATCGCTGATGTTTTTCGTGTGTGTTCTATAGATAGTCGAGATATAGAACGAGAATAGAGTAATCGTGACGTCATCATTGAAGTACCCTCGCGGCTAAACGTCCTTGATTTTACTAAGATTGCAACGCGAATAAACCGCGTCTTAAGCAGAAAAACCATCATGTAAGACGCGGGTAATTCAAAGTTTCAGCAGATGATAGATCTGTTTGAAACATATATCAGTCGATAGCCCTTGAAATGGTGATCACGAATATCACCTTTAAAAAAGTTCTAGCCCTTTCCTTCGTGGAAAAAACCTTGACATACTTAGTTTCAGTTCAGTTTGCAAAAATTCGATATTCCACATAAAACGGCATTTAGTTCTTCTCTCTTGCACTTTTAGCAGATAATTCTTTCATATTCGGATTCCGCACGT